CTGGAAATCAAGGAAAAAAATAAACATTTCAATATGGAAAAACATGCTAAATGATCACATATCATCCGAAAACCATCCCACAGCAGAATCCCTCTGTCCCTGGTCACCACTTCTTAAATCACTCCACCCCACTGCCAGGTAATTCTAAATATGTACTTATTTGTTAAAAATCCTTCTAATGGGTATACATATATATATAACTGTGTTCATATGTTTATATAACTAGTTGACTATGTATATATCTATGTGTTTTTTATATAAAGGTGTGTACATATGCATATCTATCATACAGTATTCATAACATCGTGGTTTCGCAGTAGTATTAATAGCCAAATAGTATAATACAAGTATTATTATTATTCTTATCATCGTTATATAATTTAAATATATAGTATAGTTATTACATTCTATAGGATTATGATAGTTATATACCAAAGTTGTTATAGCCATTACTCTTAGTTAAAACTAGTATAAAGCAATTGTTATTATTATTGATATTATTTTTTTTAGCAGCAGTAGTACGAAAAAAAAGTAAGGGAAGAGTAATGGCAGTAACGATTACAATATCTATATGACATTTAAAGGGAAGGGAAGAAGAAAGGGAGGGAAAAAGGGACAGGGAAAAAAGAACAAAACAAAAGAACAAGGGGAAGGGAAAAGGAAAAAAAAAAAAAAAAAAAAAAAAACTGGGCTCCCTCATCTGCACCTTGCTCCACCCCTTGGGTTTTTAATGCACCACATACAACACAATGTTTTTAATGCACCACACAAGAGCACAGGTGCAGATTGGGGTTCTGACATTTGAAAAAGTATACCTTACTATTTATAAATAATCTTATAATGAGTAATTTATTTATAAATATTTAACAATAGTGAGTGTATGTAAGTATGTGTATATATGCATGTATATATATATGTATACATATATTTAAATACTACATTGATGTGTATATAAATTACAAAAATACACACTAAGAATAACAATCTGATTCAGTAAAGCTGATAATGCTGCTGCGGCTACGTGACTTTCCCGTGTATTGAACTGTCTTATCTATTAATTATTATCATCTATATGTGTGGGTACGTGTGTATGTATGTATGTATATGCGTAGGTATGTTTATTTATATATGTATATATGTGTATTTCTTTATTATTATTATTACTGTTTCATTTGTTTTTTTTTTTATGTCAATATGTGCCCTGCCTGTCACTACTTCACATCGCCATCTCTTCCCCATTATTGCAATACTACGTCCTTTCTATTATATTCTTACTATTACTATGCTCTGATATTATAATTATAATTACTTAACTCATATTATTACTGTCATCACTACTCTCATTATTATTACTATAATGGCAAATATGTCACTATCTCTATCTTTGTTTATTTCACTCATCAAAGCTTATCTAAGAAATTGACTCATGTAACATACACCTGAACACACTACACGCGCACTACACACATCCAGACACTACACGCATCCAGACACTACACACATCCACTATGCACAGCCACCATAGGCCCTCGGGGTCAATTTGTATCGGTCTAGCCCCCTTCCCTTTTGTGTTGCTCCCCAGTATGTGTGTTTTGTAAAGCTTTGTTTGTATGTTTGCATGTATGTATAAATAAAAAAAAAAAAAAAAAAAAAAAAAAAAGAGAGACATTCTTATACAACCTGCTGTGTGCGGCTGTACCTGTGTGCTGTTGTACCTGTGTGCGGCTGTACCTGTGTGCTGCTGAACCTGTGTGCTGTTGTACCTGTGTGCTGCTGTACCTGTGTGCTGTTGTACCTGTGTGCTGTTGTACCTGTGTGCGGCTGTACCTGTGTGCGGCTGTACCTGTGTGCTGTTGTACCTGTGTGCTGCTGTACCTGTGTGCGGCTGTACCTGTGTGCGGCTGTACCTGTGTGCTGCTGTACCTGTGTGCTGCTGTACCTGTGTGCTGTTGTACCTGTGTGCTGCTGTACCTGTGTGCGGCTGTACCTGTGTGCGGCTGTACCTGTGTGCGGCTGTACCTGTGTGCTGTTGTACCTGTGTGCTGTTGTACCTGTGTGCTGCTGTACCTGTGTGCTGCTGTACCTGTGTGCTGCTGTACCTGTGTGCTGTTGTACCTGTGTGCGGCTGTACCTGTGTGCTGCTCAACCTGTGTGCTGCTGAACCTGTGTGCTGTTGTACCTGTGTGCTGCTGTACCTGTGTGCTGCTGTACCTGTGTGCTGCTGTACCTGTGTGCGGCTGTACCTGTGTGCTGCTGTACCTGTGTGCTGCTGTACCTGTGTGCTGCTGAACCTGTGTGCTGTTGTACCTGTGTGCGGCTGTACCTGTGTGCTGCTCAACCTGTGTGCTGCTGAACCTGTGTGCTGTTGTACCTGTGTGCTGCTGTACCTGTGTGCTGCTGTACCTGTGTGCTGCTGTACCTGTGTGCGGCTGTACCTGTGTGCTGCTGTACCTGTGTGCTGCTGTACCTGTGTGCGGCTGTACCTGTGTGCTGCTGAACCTGTGTGCTGCTGTACCTGTGTGCTGCTGAACCTGTGTGCTGCTGTACCTGTGTGCTGCTGTACCTGTGTGCTGCTGTACCTGTGTGCTGCTGAACCTGTGTGCTGCTGTACCTGTGTGCGGCTGTACCTGTGTGCTGCTGAACCTGTGTGCTGCTGTACCTGTGTGCTGCTGAACCTGTGTGCTGCTGTACCTGTGTGCTGCTGAACCTGTGTGCTGCTGTACCTGTGTGCGGCTGTACCTGTGTGCTGCTGTACCTGTGTGCTGCTGTACCTGTGTGCTGCTGTACCTGTGTGCGGCTGTACCTGTGTGCTGCTCAACCTGTGTGCTGCTGAACCTGTGTGCTGCTGAACCTGTGTGCTGTTGTACCTGTGTGCTGCTGTACCTGTGTGCTGTTGTACCTGTGTGGTTCTGTCACGCCAAGTCAACGTTCAGCAGATACATGGGGGCTGCATTGGGGCTACATGGGGGCTGCATGGATGCTGCATGGGGGCTACATGGGGCTGCATGGGTGCTGCATGGGGCTGCATGGATGCTGCATGGGGGCTACATGGGGCTGCATGGGTGCTGCATGGGGGCTACATGGGGGCTGCATGGGTGCTGCATGGGGCTACATGGGGGCTGCATGGGGGCTGCATGGGGGCTGCATGGGGCTACATGGGGGCTGCATGGGTGCTGCATGGGGCTGCATGGGTGCTGCATGGGGCTACATGGGGGCTGCATGGGTGCTGCATGGGGGCTACATGGGGGCTGCATGGGTGCTGCATGGGGCTACATGGGGGCTGCATGGGGCTACATGGGGGCTGCATGGGGGCTACATGGGGGCTGCATGGGTGCTGCATGGGGCTACATGGGGGCTGCATGGGGGCTGCATGGGTGCTGCATGGGGGCTGCATGGGGCTACATGGGGGCTGCATGGGGCTACATGGGGGCTGCATGGGTGCTGCATGGGGGCTACATGGGGGCTACATGGGGGCTGCATGGGGGCTGCATGGGGCTACATGGGGGCTGCATGGGTGCTGCATGGGGGCTGCATGGGTGCTGCATGGGGCTACATGGGGGCTGCATGGGGCTACATGGGGGCTGCATGGGTGCTACATGGGGGCTGCATGGGTGCTGCATGGGGCTACATGGGGGCTGCATGGGTGCTGCATGGGGGCTACATGGGGCTGCATGGGGGCTGCATGGGTGCTGCATGGGGCTACATGGGGGCTGCATGGGTGCTGCATGGGGGCTACATGGGGGCTGCATGGGTGCTGCATGGGGCTACATGGGGGCTGCATGGGGGCTGCATGGGACTACATGGGGGCTGCATGGGGGCTACATGGGGGCTGCATGGGTGCTGCATGGGGCTACATGGGGGCTGCATGGGGGCTGCATGGGGGCTACATGGGGGCTGCATGGGGGCTACATGGGGCTGCATGGATGCTGCATGGGGCTACATGGGGGCTGCATGGGGGCTGCATGGGGCTACATGGGGCTGCATGGATGCTGCATGGGGGCTAATATGCTGGACATGACACTTACCTACTTAAGCACTTACTTAAAATTAAGTAATTTTTAGTTAAAACGCATCACCTTAAACGCAGGGGCTGGAAAATGTGAAAAAACGCATCCTCTTCGGGGCAGAACTCCCTTCTGCTCTGACCTTCGCTGTCAGACCTCGCTGCAGTTAGCATTAGCGCCACCACCTGGGCCGAGTGTTGTACTACAGCAGATTTGGGCATGGTTAAAATAAAAAACCCTTCTAACCGTGGACCGTCTTCACAGTGGCGATGGTCCGGGCCACTTGACCTAGTTGGTAAAAACCATGTGACCATGGCCTTTGATAGTCCGGAAAAGCACTATATAAAACTGATGCATTATTGCTATTGTGTGAGACTTAATCTGTACATTATCAGGATGAGCCTGTTGCACATCACAATCCCAGAGAGTGCCCTGTGCTCCACTGCCCTGACAGAGAGGCCTAAACTACAGACCCAGACACCCACACACCCCGGCTAATGCTAACAAAGACATGCTACTGCTCTGTCTGCAGCTAACATGAGGAGTCTGTGGAAGAGATCAGGAGAGAGGTGTGTGTGTTTGTGTGTGTGTCTACGTCTGTTTCTGTGTGTAACGTGTTCAGATCATGTGTTGCTGTAACGTGTTCAGACCATGTGTTGCTGTAACGTGTTCAGACCATGTGTCGGCGTAACGTGTTTGGACCATGTGTTGCTGTAACGTGTTCAGACCATGTGTCGGCGTAACGTGTTCGGACCATGTGTCGCTGTAACATGTTCAGACCATGTGTTGCTGTAACATGTTCAGACCATGTGTTGCTGTAACGTGTTCAGACCATGTGTCGGCGTAACGTGTTCAGACCAAGTGTCGCTGCAACGTGTTCGGACCATATGTCTCTGTAACGTGTTCGGACCATGTGTCGCTGTAACGTGTTCAGACCATGTGTCGCTGTAACATGTTCAGACCATGTGTCTCTGTAACGTGTTCGGACCATGTGTCGCTGTAACGTGCTCAGACCATGTGTCACCGTAACGTGTTCAGACCATGTGTCGACGTAACGTGTTCGGACCATGTGTTGCCGTAACGTGTTCGGACCATGTGTTGCCGTAACGTGTTCGGACCATGTGTCGCCGTAACGTGTTAGGACCATGTGTCGCTGTAACGTGTTCAGACCATGTGTCGCTGTAACGTGTTCAGACCATGTGTCGCTGTAACGTGTTCAGACCATATGTCTCTGTAACGTGTTCGGACCATGTGTCGCTGTAACGTGTTCAGACCATGTGTCGCTGTAACGTGTTCGGACCATGTGTCGCTGTAACGTGTTCGGACCATGTGTTGCTGTAACGTATTCGGACCGTGTGTCGCCGCAACGTGTTCGGACCATGTGTCACCGTAACGTGTTCAGACCATGTGTCGCCATAATGTTTTCGGACCATGTGTCGCCGTAACGTGTTCGGACCATGTGTCGCCGTAACGTGTTCGGAACATGTGTCGCTGTAACGTGTTCAGACCATGTGTCTCTGTAACGTGTTTGGACCATGTGTTGCTGTAACGTGCTCAGACCATGTGTCACCGTAACGTGTTCGGACCATGTGTCGCTGTAACGTGTTTGAACCATGTGTCGCCGTAACGTGTTCGGACCATGTGTTGCCGTAACGTGTTCGGACCATGTGTCGCCGTAACGTGTTTGGACCATGTGTCGCCGTAACGTGTTTGGACCATGTGTTGCTGTAACGTGTTCAGACCATGTGTCGCCGTAACGTGTTCGGACCATGTGTCGCCGTAACGTGTTTGGACCATGTGTTGCTGTAATGTGTTCGGACCATGTGTCGCCGTAACGTGTTCGGACCATGTGTCGCCGTAACGTGTTTGGACCATGTGTTGCTGTAACGTGTTTGGACCATGTGTTGCCGTAACGTATTCGGACCATGTGTCGCCGCAACGTGTTCAGACCATGTGTCGCCGTAACGTGTTCGGACCATGTGTCGCTGTAACGTTTTCGGACCATGTGTCGCTGTAACGTGTTCAGACCATGTGTCGCTGTAACGTGTTCGGACCATGTGTCGCTGTAACGTGTTCGGACCATGTGTCGCTGTAACGTGTTTGGACCATGTGTCGCTGTAACGTCTTCGGACCATGTGTCGCCGCAACGTGTTCGGACCATGTGTCACCGTAACGTGTTCAGACCATGTGTCTCTGTAAAGTGTTCAGACCATGTGTCACCATAATGTTTTCGGACCATGTGTCGCCGCAACGTGTTCGGACCATGTGTTGCTGTAACGTCTTCGGACCATGTGTCGCCGCAACGTGTTTGGACCATGTGTCACTGTAACGTGTTCAGACCATGTGTCTCTGTAAAGTGTTCAGACCATGTGTCGCCATAATCTTTTCGGACCATGTGTCGCCGCAACGTGTTCAGACCATGTGTCGCTGTAACGTGTTTGGACCATGTGTCGCTGTAACGTGTTCGGACCATGTGTCGCTGTAACGTCTTCGGACCATGTGTCGCCGCAACGTGTTCGGACCATGTGTCACCGTAACGTGTTCAGACCATGTGTCGCCATAATGTTTTCGGACCATGTGTCGCCGCAACGTGTTCGGACCATGTGTCGCTGTAACGTGTTCGGACCATGTGTCGCTGTAACGTGTTCAGACCATGTGTCGCTGTAACGTGTTCAGACCATGTGTCGCTGTAACGTGTTCGGACCATGTGTTGCTGTAACGTCTTCGGACCATGTGTCGCCGCAACGTGTTCGGACCATGTGTCACTGTAACGTGTTCAGACCATGTGTCGCTGTAACGTGTTCGGACCATGTGTCGCCGCAACGTGTTCGGACCATGTGTCGCTGTAACGTGTTCGGACCATGTGTCGCTGTAACGTGTTCGGACCATGTGTCGCCATAATGTTTTCGGACCATGTGTCGCCGCAACGTGTTCGGACCATGTGTCGCTGTAACGTGTTCGGACCATGTGTCGCTGTAACGTGTTCGGACCATGTGTCGCTGTAACGTGTTCGGACCATGTGTCGCTGTAACGTCTTCAGACCATGTGTCGCCGCAACGTGTTCGGACCATGTGTCACCGTAACGTGTTCAGACCATGTGTCTCTGTAAAGTGTTCAGACCATGTGTCGCCATAATGTTTTCGGACCATGTGTCGCCGCAACGTGTTCGGACCATGTGTCGTTGTAACGTGTTCGGACCATGTGTCGCTGTAACGTGTTCGGACCATGTGTCGCTGTAACGTGTTCAGACCATGTGTCGCTGTAACGTGTTCAGACCATGTGTCGCTGTAACGTGTTCGGACCATGTGTCGCTGTAACGTGTTCAGACCATGTGTCGCTGTAACGTGTTCAGACCATGTGTCGCTGTAACGTGTTCGGACCATGTGTTGCTGTAACGTCTTCGGACCATGTGTCGCCGCAACATGTTTCGGACCATGTGTCACTGTAACGTGTTCAGACCATGTGTCTCTGTAAAGTGTTCAGACCATGCGTCGCC